GGGGTCAAAAGAAAATAAGACTCTGTCTCATTTCCGGGGAAACACGGTATATATCACACACGTGTTTCACAGTAGAAATTAACTTGAGATCAGGTTGAGCACACCTAATCTCCCCAAACCACAATTCATCCTTGACCTTCTCTACTCCGTTCCCAAGAATGGAGAAAGGCCCAAACAGCCGTACCAGGTATAGCCCAAGTGCTCCAATGTTGTTGGGCATACAATTCCCATCGGCCCCACCAAGATTTGGCTGGGAAGCAGGGGAATCGAAGTCCAACGTAAGGTTGAAGAGGTTCTCTTTGAACATAACATCACATTGAAGAAGGTAACCTTGAAATGTTATTAAGGGCAGAGGTGAAAGATTTTATCTCGGCCTTCTCTTGGTATGTACGGCTTGTCGGCCCGAACTGATTTTTCTTTCCCTCAAGTCTTCTTACAAATTCGCAGGATAAACGGACTTTTTCGTCCTTGTTAGATAGAATTGTGTTATCTGAAGCAGTTGCTCTTGAGCTGTACCGTGTAGGAAACCGCAGGAATTTTTTTTTCTTTTAGATCAAGGGCTGGGGAGGGGGGGTGCGTGGGAAAGAGGGTGTGTTTGAGCTTTATTCTTTAGGCGGATATCTCTTCTTTGAAATATACGTTAAGTTTACTGTGACTTCTTTTGTCGTCGTTTTATCGGAAGGGGGGTTTCACATTGAAGCCCCTGCAAAAAGGGACTCAAATATGCAACAACCTAATCTATTTTCTAAGGGGGAATTCTACCCTGGAATGGTGCTTTTAAGACTGGTCAGGGTTATTTATTAAATTTTTTATATATTTTAAAGTATTTGGGAATCGTGTAAATCCTTTATATAAATATAAATATAAATAAATATATATAGATATATATATCTATGAATCTTATATTATTAGTTCATGAACTGTAAGGAGCGGAGGAAGGCTCAGCAGCTGAACCCAGGGTTCGGCGAAGTCATTCAGAATGTTCAATCGTCATTTTCACGAAATCTCCCCGCAGGTCGTATATCAAATGTCTTCGCGCGAAAACGGAATTATGCAATTCCCCTGGAGGAGATACGCCGTACAGGTAGTCCTTGACTTATGACCACAATTGGGCACCATGTTAACTTCCAACGGTGACTAAACGGATGGTTGTGAGTCAAAAGATTGACACGTACTAGCTGATTGTTTCGAAGGTGCGGGATACGGCAGACTTGTTGGTTCTGGAAGAAGCTACTTCGAACGCTTTTAAACTCTCCTCCTCTCAGATTGCCAGGTGTGCCAAACCCAGTGAATTCACACTGCATTCTGCATCTTTCCTGTCCCTTCTCCAGGCAGCAAGACGTCCTCTTTTGCTCACACCTGAGGGGCACGTTCTGGAACAGACCCTCAGGCTTCAGCTCCCCCCCTCCCTTAAACAGGAAGAGCATCCGCCAGTTTTTTTAGACTCAACAGGGGTGACCAATCTTGGCGATCTTTAAAAACCGGCAGGCTCCCGACTCCCGGAATTCTCTGCCCGGCAAGGTTAGACGCCCTTCCATGATCTAGAACAGGGGTGTCAAACTCGATTTCGTTGAAGGCCGCCTCAGGGTTGTGTTTGACCTCAGTGGCTGGAGGGGTGGGGGCATGGCCAGTTTGACGTCACTCGAGTCAGGATCCCTCTGTAGCGGCCCGAGCCCTCTGCAGTGAAAACGGGCTCCCAAATTGCACTTCAGGCCACGACAGCCTCCTGCCAACCTCTGCCAACCACATGCAGCTCTCCCGAGTTCGTTTTCATTGGTAGAGGCACCGCAGGCAAATTCTTCGCTGTTTCCAGGTTGGCCTCGTGGGCCTGATCTAAGTACCCCACGGGCCAGATCTGAGTTTGACACCCCTGGTCTAGACTATAGCGCTGTATTTTCCAGCCTCCTTCCTCCCTTGCCGTTTGCGTGAAGCAAGCGCTAAATCTTTTGCAGGCGGGATGAAGGGAGTCTTATGAGTTGTCCGATTACTTTTGCAACTCGCCCCATCAGCTATGACCATGTCACAGCCTGACTTTCTCTGTTCTAGAACATGCCTCCTAACCATGTGTCTCCATTAGGGGAAAGTCGAGATTCTCTTTTGAACTTTGGAAAAAAAAAATCACTTTGTTTACACCTCTCTGGCTCAGACACGCAACTCACAACATGATGTGGGTGTGTTGGCAAATGGCATTCTTCAGTAACTTTCTATCAAGAGCCGCCAGCTTTTGATGTCCTCATCAATATTTGAATTCTTTGAATGACTTACCTCAGTGTCAATATTTTGCAATATTAAACCGGTAACCTCACTAACTCCACACGCTTCATCGATAACGTGAAGTCAATGAAACGGATGCTCTTAAAGCAACTGAACTTGCCATTAAGGATTATTTTATAGCATGAGATATTTTAGAATATTTATTCAAATGATATTTTACTCTTATACTCAGATGGGGGTTTTTTTTGTTGTTGTTGTTGGGTTGTTGTGGGTTTTTTTGGTTGATTGGTTGGTTGTTCTTCCTCCCCCCCCTGCCCCCCTCCCCATTCTGTGACATGAATATTTCAATGCTGCTTTTATTTTGTTCTAATGGATTTTTTGGTTGGTTCGTTTCCTTGCTTGTAAATTGCCTTTTTATGGTATAAATAAAAGTCGATGGGAATTGCCGTTTATAAATTAAAATGCTTCTGAAGCACAGACGCTGTCTCCGAGTTTGGATTTCTTTTTCAAGAGATGCCATGTCGCTGGGCATCCGTCACCATGCCCTGCTTGGTTAAAATCACCCCGAGTTCATATTATCATGTCCAGAGGTGGGTTCCTACCAGTTCGCACCGGTTCGGTAGAACCGGTTCATCAAATATTGTATTTTTAAGATTGTTTTTTTCCTCAAGTTATAAAGTATATAGAGCCAATTAATAAGATTCACATCTTCACATCCTCACAGGCTTCTATTTTTCCTGAAGACATATTTTGGTGAGATTTGTTTATTAATCAAATTTGCTTGTTCTCATCTTTAGTTGCCATCTACATATTCCTCTGAAAGCAAACAAGCAAAAAAGTTCTTCTACAAATTCCTAGAAATATTGTTTCTTACAAAATTGTGTTTCCTATTTGTATTAAGGTAGTAAATTTAAAAAAATAATAATCTACCAAACCGGTTAGAAGAGGTTCCACCAGTGGACCTGGAAAGCACTGAAATATTCCTCTCCTCTCCTACAGAAGAGGTTCCAAAAAATTTTGAAACCCACCACTGATGATGTCCCTCTATCTCTATCTAAACCACGATGTGGCTTGGTTTGGGGGTTCGCATGTGGTTTATAAATAAAACTTGGGGGCGTGGTGAAGCTGTGTTCATGGACCTTAAGAGTTCTGTTTGAGGCACCCATTCCCAAGTGATCTATGGCAGTGGTTTCTCAACTTTGGTAACTTGAAGATGTCTGGACTTCAACTCCCAGAATTCCCCAGCCAGCGAATGCTGGCTGGGGA